CTTCCTGGAGACTAGAAGGATCCAGTCAGGGCCTTGGAGCCCGGAGCAATGTCCTGTGAAAGTCCATATCAAGGATCTGCATTGGAAAGGCCCAAGAGCCAGTGGCAGAAGCTAGAAAGTCTGTGCCAGTGGGATGAAGGATCTGTGCCAGAAGGATGAGGGATCTGCACTGGAAGCTAAGAGACGATGTCCAAGATGAAGATGGTGATTAAAGCTCTTGTGAAGGAAGACAGCAGCCAAAGCTTCTTTGAATAAAAAGCACCAAAAAGCAGTTTCTTTAGGAAAATCAGCAGCATAAAATTTTTCTCTCCTGTTCTCCTCTATACCTTCTAGCAACAATCCTCAGGTGGGTCTGCCATGCCCAGAACCACGCTGACCCAGTTTAGCACTGTGTTCCCACTTAAGTTGACCATTAATTAACCCACCACAGGGAAGTATGTATCACGTCCCATGAGGAGTAAAAGAAAGTTCCAGGTAATCTAAGAAGATTTCACAAAAAAGTTTATTGGATAAGTACTTCTAAAACGAGCTATACTTGTCTCAGAATTGAAAAAGGAGAACATATATGAAACAAAATAGAAAGTTTAAAGAGCTTGATGACTTGGGAAACCAAGTGCCAATGATAAGTTATGCAGAAGGAGAAGTAGTTTAAGGGTCCAGTTTTAGATATTTATTGGAAATGTTTGTGAAAAGGGTGAAATGTCCAGGACAATACTGGTCTGGAGATGATTTCAGGGGAGAAAGAGGATAGGCTAGATAAATGCACAAGTACATACACAGAGTGGCAGAGTTCAAACAGTTGATTCCTAAAGTGGTACTTTGCATTACACTATAATTTGTATTAAGTTAATTGGTACAATTTGGATATACTTTTTTTTTTTTTTTTGGTTTTTCTCCGGTACCGGGAACCGAACTCACGACCTTGCGCTTGCCAGGCAGGCGCTTTGCCGCTGAGCTTGGATATACTTAATGATCGTATTCATCATAGGGAACTTGTACCTATACTTGATATATCTTAGTTCCTCCTATTTTTCCCATTCCCCTCCCCTCCCTTCAGTCCCTCTTCCCCTCCTTATTTACAAACCTTTGTCTCCATTTTATCCTTCTTCTCTCATTTTTTTTCTTTTCCTTTCCTTCCTCCCTCCTCCCACTTCCCTTTCCTCTTGAATAATTTCTTCCTGTTTCACAGTGTCTGTTACACATTTTGGTTTTTATTTACATGTTCAGCTTCTCACACTATAGAGACAATGTGATATTTACACGTGTGTCCAATTTATTTCACTTAAGAGTACAGCCTCAAGGTGCATCCATTTACCTAGAAATGTTTAAAGTCTATCCTTCTTTATGGCTGAGTAGTAGTCCATTGTATTAAAAAAAGCACATCTTTTTATTCATTCATCAGTTGATGGGCATTTGGGTTGTTTCCAAGATTTAGCTATTATAAACTGTGCTGCTATAAACATGTGTGCACATATATCATTGTGGTATGATGCTTTTAATTCTTTTGGAAAGATATCAAGAAGGGAAATAGCTGGGTCAAATGGGACCTGTAGTTCTAATTTTGTAAGGAATCTCCACACTGATTCCCTTACTGGTTGCACCATTCTACACTCCCACCAACTGTGGAGAAGGCTCCTTTTGCCCCATAGCCTCACCAGCATTTGCTATTGGTTTTCTTGGTAATAGTTATTCTTTCTGGAGATAGAATCTCAGTGTTGTTTTAATTTACAACTCTCAAATGATGATGATGTTGAACTTTCTTTTCATATATTTATTTACCATTTGTACTTCTTTTGAGAAGTGTCTATTCATTTCAGATGGCCATTTATGGACTGGGTCTTTACACCTGGGGGGGTTCTGAGTTTTTTCAATTCTTTGTATATTCTACATATTAGTCCTTTGTCTGAAGAACAATTGGCTAAGATTTTTTTCCCACTCTGTAGGTTGTCTGTTCACTCTATTGGTGATTTCTTTTGCTGTGCAAAAGCTTTCTAATAAGATGAGATCCCAGATGTTGATTCTTTATGGTATTTCCTGTGCAATGAGGATTTTGTTCATTAAATTTTTGCCTACACCTATGTCTTCAACAATTTTTTTAAAATTACAAAATTATGCCATTTCAGAACTCAATAAAACTTTAGAGATAAAGTAGCTGGCCTAGTGATTTTCCAACTAGACTTTTTGGAACCCACTGCCTGGCAGAGGGTAGGGCTCCAGGACCCTCATATCCACTTCACTCACAGATAAACCTTTTCTTAGTTTTAGATTCTTCAGATAAAAAATTTGAAATAACTCATATAATGCAAAACAGTTTTTGTAGCTGACCTACATGTAGTAATTCTCTAAAGCAGGTTTATTCTTAGGCCTAAAACATTCTTTTCAAACATTTTTGCTAGTAAATGCCTACTAATCTGCCCATCAACTGAGGAATGGATAAAAAAGATGTGGTATTTTTATACAATGGAGTATTAGCTATAAAAAAGATAAACTCGAGGCTTTTGTAGGTAAATGGATGCAACTACAGACCATACTCATAAGTGAAATAAATCAGACCCGCACATTATATTGTCTCCCTGGTTTAGGAACCTGAAAGAGTAAGTAAAACTCAAAACGTACAATAGATGATATAAAAGGGAAAGAAATTGCTCAAAGGAAGGAACAACTGGGATGAGGGAAGGAAGAAAAAAGAAAGAAGGAAGGCAATATATCAATAGCTGGGATAACTGTACTGCTTATGTCTGATGGTATATTGAAAAGAACAGTTAATGCTTAAAATTTTTTATATTTTGACCAATTTTGCATGCTTATATCTGGTAATCTGAGCCACTGATTTGAAGAGAACAATATGCAATGGAACAACCATGGAGAATTCCTACCATCTTGTCCAGTGAAACTCTGTATTATTTCTAATGTTTTATCTAATAATTATTTTTATTCTCTTTAATGGTTTGAACAGTCTTCCATTCTTAATCTGGTAATCCGAGCACTGTAGTGGAAGAAAACAATAAGTAATATAACAACCACTGTTAATTCCAATAATTTTGTTTTGAAACCCTGTATCACTTCTAATGTACTTGCTTTGTTTTATGTCTGTGATGTTAGTATGTAGCTATTTTCTTTTCTACTCTCTTTAAAATAAAAAAAAAGAAAATATCTACTGATCCTACAAGTCTTACTTCCTGGATTACTTATAGGAAAGAACTATTCCAGGTGGAGTTAAGGACCACTGTTCTTGGTGCTTCTATGGTACCTCAAGCATGCTTCAATCATTAACAGTTATCACCTCACATTATATTTACTTACTCTGTTGAATTATGTGCTAGGTTTGGCTGTGACAAAATACATGAGATAAACAACTTAAAAGGATGAAGGTTTATTTTGGCTCACGGTTTCAGAGGTTTCCATCCATGATCAACAGATTCCATTGCTTTTGGGGCTGTGGTGTGGCAGAAAATCATGCCTCGGAGTACACAGTAGAGCAAAGTTGCTCACTTTATGGCAGCTGGGAGGCAGAGAGCAAGAAGGAAGGAATGAGGTCCTAACAGCCCCTTCAATATCACTATACATCTGCTAATGGCCTATTCCCTCCAACTAGGCTCACTCTAAAGTTCCCAAAACCTCTCAGTAACTTCCTCAGCTGGGTACCAAGCCTTCAATATATGAGGTGGAGGAGCAATTTAAGATTCAAATCCAAGCCATAGTAAATTGTGTCTTTTCTTTCCTAGACTATAACAATCAAGGACTGCAGCTTTCACTTCTGCATAGCTGTTCTTTAGCACACTCTGGACAAACAAATGTTAAATGAATTATTGTAGTTAATAAAAGAGTAAGCAAAGTGGTACATAAATGCATAATGAAAGTGAGACCCAAAGTGATGGGCCTACCCAAGATCATAGAGCTGGTCAGGAGAACCAAAACATAGAACCTACGCTGCCCACCTGTTCATATGCCAGTATACCATGCTGCCTCCCACCTTAATTAAATATAATGTATCTGAAAGCATTCAATTCTAAAGTTCCCCTTTCTTTGCTTAGCACAGTAGTCTAAATCCAACATTTATACTCTGTATGCTAGTTTGCAGAATATATTAGTATTTCATTAACAGAATTGCAGAGACAAGGATCATTAATCAAATTTCCTTTTCTTAGTCCTAAAACCATATTACTTGGCAAAATTAAAGCTTGTTAAGATAAAAGTCCCTGTGACCAGAGGTACCACTACCGTATTTGCTTTCTAACTGACCAGCTTAATAGTAAGCATAAAAACATTAAATAAAACAGCTGTAAATACTATATAACATTAGGAAAGATTGAAAATGAGAAAAAGCTTCAAAAAATTTGAAAATTTTCTTTTCTACCTTAGGGGATGAGAAATTGTCAGGTCCAGCCATATTGTGACATTCTGAGCAAAGTAATATTTTAGAGGAAACTCAAAACTTACTCTTGAAGAAGGAAAATAAAATGATTCCCTTGAGGAATCTGATATAGCTCTAATCATAATTTACTTTCTTAAATCCATGAATACCAATTCTAATTTTAGTCAAGTGAAAAAACTGAATTAAGGTCCTTACACTTACTCCTTTTTTGTGTAATCTCTAATTTTAAGCTCACGTCTGATATATGATCAAGAGCAAAAACAAAGATATCAAAACATACACGTAATTCTAGTAATGAATTGAAATACAAAAAGGTGTTTCTTTCCATTTTAGATTTTCCAGTGCTTCATGAGTTTTACATTACTCTCAGTATAGATTTCTCAAATGAGAAATATAGATCTTTTATGACTAAAAGTAATCATTTTCCATGGATTATAAATCTTTTTTCTTTGCTTATTTTTATAAATGTAAAGGAAAGTTTAAATGTTTAGTAGTTTTAATCTTTAATTTGGTCTAAATATATATTAAAAGTTAAGGCAATATTTAAAATAATGTTCCTATTTTCAAATTACTAGTTGCCTTCCTTAATTCTATATTGAGTTTTTTTGTTTTGTTTGATTTGCAGAACTTTCACGCCAGTTTACTGTCCGAGCCCACTAAGTGGCATTACACCTCTCCTTTATGTAGCTCAGACAAGACAGTCTAGTATCTTAAAGATACTCCTGCAGTATGGAATCTTAGAAAGAGAGAAAGACCCTCTCAACATTGTCTTAACAATACTACTCTACCCATCAAGAGTGAGAATAATGGTTGATCATGAGTTGATTGACATCGAGGAAGATGCCAAAACATGCTTAGTGCTGTGTTCCAGGGTGCTTTCTGCCATTTCAGTCAAGGAAATAAAGGTGAGCAAATTATCATTCTCGGGTCTTGTACTCAACACTTGATGAATTTTAGTATAAAACTGAGGAAGCAAAAATAAAGTTAATTTTTAATGTATTCGCTTGCATCCAGTGACAAATCAATCATTGAGTGTATGTTTATTAATTTAAAATAAAAGACAAAATTCAAATTATCTAAAAAATTAGTCCTTTACTTCATAATTTTGGTTTTCTACATATGAAAGAATTCTAAACGTTAAATTTATTTTAGTGCTGTTAAGTACATATAGTTTATTAGTTTTGAATAACATAAACTGTGTTTATTAAGATTTCTGTCTCTGAAAAGCAAAATAAATTAAAAATTTAACAGACCTCTTTTCCAATAGCATATTTTAAAATGAGGGCTGCATTTCTCCCCATAAATACAATCACAAACTAAGAAATAGATTTTTCCACTCAAAATTCCAAAGCAATTTCAAGCATTCTAAGAAATAGGCTTAAACTAATTGCTCAGTTGATAATGTCTCAGAAATATGGCAACCTTTTATCTAATAAAACAATTTTTTTTTTTTTTTTTTTTTTGGTGGTACCGGGGATCGAACTTGCAACCTTGCACTTGCCAGGCAGGTGCTTATGCCACTGAGCTATATTCCCAGCCCTTAATAAGAATTTTTGAATAATCCAAATTTAGAGAAAATAAATCAGCCATGCACAGCAATGTTTACCCTTCAAAATGAACAAAAGCGTCAGCACCAAATTGTATGACGTCCCTAGTAACAAGAAATAACTGCTTAGGGGCTGGGGATTTAGCTCAGTGGCAAAGCGCCTGCCTGGCAAGCGCAAGGTCATGAGTTCAGTTCCCGGTACCGGAAAAAAAAAACAAAACAAAAAAACAAACAAACAAACAAAAAAAGAAATAACTGCTTAAAGGAGAGGAGGTTACTCTAAATTCACACTAGATGAATTACTAAGGAACAGCAGTTCTCCTGATCTTTAAAGATATAACTTCAGAAATAAATTTGTAAGAGATATAACTGTGTGGAGTTTTTAAAATGCCCTAATAAATACCAACACTTAGGTGAACTGTAAGAAAAGCAAATTGTTCAAATTATTTTGGCAACCCACTTTTAAAACAAAAACTAACCTGTCTCTATCTCCAGGAACATTGCTTGTCCTTGGCCAGTGTTAGTCCTGCACAGTTCTTACAGAAATACCAACTTCCAACCAGTTCCATTAAATGCTATTGCTGAGGTTCCACAACAGTAGGACAGTACTAAGACAGAATGAGTTAACCAAAGCCACCAACCTGAGTGGCAAAGAATTTAGAGCTGGGTCCAATCAGCTGCAATTTAATAAACTAAAGTGAAGTTGCACTGTACAAGAAGACAAAGGATTACATTAAAACTGCCTGATGAACACTTTAAAGGCCCTTCTCTACATTTCCACACTTCCCAATAGTTACTCCTATCATAGCACATAGATTTTCTTATAAATATATATTTTGGTACCTCTATCCCTACACCATAGATCTTATGAATATCATAATGTTGTGAAATAATTAAACAAGCTTGTACGATTTCTCTTACATGAGAAACCTAAAATATAAATCAATAAAAGAGTAAAATAAATGATAGATAATATGATAATAGGTCTTTTGCAAAAGAGAAGTGAATCAAGAAATGGTGACCAAAGAGAGGAAGTGTATGAAAAGAACAATTAAGATCTGTTATGTACATCAGCCAACTGCCCATGGTGAATGTAATCATTATGTGCTACAAACACATACTTATAAAAATAAAAATTAAAAAAGAAACTATTTTGCATACCCTATCAATTACCCTGAGCACCTACCGCAATATTGAGAATATATCAGATGCTCTTTAAGTGGTTGATGACTGGATAAACAACACATATATCCATCTATCTAATATAACTAGATAAATGAAAGCGTCATGGCACCTGGAGAACATAGGTTCTATGGAGAAACATCTGTATAGTATAGCAATATCCTTTCCAAGTCCACCAATGACATTTGTCTTCTAGAATTGAATCCTTCAAGACAGCTTCCTGAAACTTCAAAAAGACAGCTTGTCATTTGTACAGACCTTAAGTTAGGTCTTCTTGTGTGTTAACTTTTATGCTACAATGGTTGGAACCATCTGGGGAATTTTCAGCATTTATACTGTGCCCAGCCCATGAACAAGAGAACCAGAAGTTCTGGGACAGGGCCTGAGTGTTGGCAGTTTTTACAGTCTCAGATAATTCTAGTGTATGCCACACAGACAGTAAGAATGGTAGAAGGAGAAGCTGAAGTATGTGTATGATTCATCTAAATTTAAAAACTTACCCAATATATAGGATATGCTTTCATAGTTACAAAACAATTTTGCTTCATATCCTTATACATATCATTTAAACTTCACTGTTATAAGAATTAAATGGGGATAAAATACAGTGGTACCTTGGTTTACAAACTTAATTTGTTTTATGATTTGGGGGAAGATGGCTTTGGTCCTGTTTATCACCCCATACAGAGTTTGCAAATGGAAGCAAAATTTTGCTGAACACTTTTGTTTGTGACCTGAATTGTTTGCAAACAGGAGCATTCCTGAACTGAGGCATTACTTTACCTGCTTCAAGTGAAAATGCTTTAGAAAAATATTAAATATTTATATAAAGATCTATTTTCTGAATTTAAATGAAAATGTTAATAATTTGAACTAATTCAATGATTAACATAAAAATGAAATATTTCCCTTTTCTTCAGACGCAGTTGAGTTTGGGAAGGCGTCCAATTATTTCAGATTGGTTGGAATACATTCCTCCAACAAGATACAGGGATCCGTGTGAACTATCGCATCTTTGCAGAATAACCCTGAGGAGTCAACTATTAATCAACAATATGCTCCCAGATGGAATATTTTCACCTCAAATTCCTGTTCGTCTACAGAAATACCTGAACTTAGAAAGTTAATATGTATTTTTATCCTAAGTTATTCAAGGATGATCACCACTGCATGGCTTAGAAGTTAATAAACTATTAACTTCATGTAAGTTTTTATTGGGTAGAACATTCCACTAGAAAATATATTTTCACATGATGTCCACAATCACAATGGTACAAATTATACATGTTATGATATAAACAGAAAATATCTATTTTGATCCAGCATTATATCAAAATGAAATTTTATCTGTTAAACTGTTAATGTTACAAAGAAACTTACCTAAGATATAAAATTTATGAAAAGACAAAACTTTAGATCTATTTAAATACTCAGGGCACTAGACTTTTCTGTCTATAACTATGAGGTCTAGCTTGTAAAACAAAGATGATAATTGAAGGATAGTTCTCTTTGGGTCTCTGATGTTTCTACCTGTCTTATGAGCAGAGGCATAGTCATTTGTTACAGACTATTTTCCAGGACATTTGTATTGTAAGCCACCTTGAAAGACAGAGATAATGTCTCTCTGTGGAGAAGAGAGTGGGTTTGCTTACTGTACGCAAAGCTCATGGTGCTTGCTGTATCATTAGTAATAAAGTTCTGTGTTCTGACCCAGCACTGTGATATGCTAAATTGCTAGTCTGCATGGGATGAAAATCTCAATGCTTTACACTTCTTCACAATGCGCATCTGTCCCTACTTCATGATAGTATATTTTAGGACTTGTCTTTGTATACTATGTCAGATACTTAGTAGGAGTCTCCATTATCCACTTGCAATCTGGGTGCAATAAAAAATTTCCACAGTTCATAGAAAAAGTGTTTATTCTGGTGTTATGAATACATAATAAACTATAGCTATCATAGTATCTAAAGAACAGAATATAAATAACAAAGTAACACAGACATGGAATGATATAACTGGATTACCTCCTTTTTTTCTAACTTGTAATACAAATATGTTACAGGATCAAGGTATAGAAATGTTTACTTTTACCCTTAATAAAAATATATTTAATTAGAACTGAGAATATATTTAACCTCAAAAGAAGTTCATCATTACACAGTGTATTAACACGTGAGTATTTCCTTCCCTAGTAACATGTAAGATAGTTATATATTTCTGGAAAATATGTGTCAATGTAAAGAAATTCAAAAAGCTATCTTTATTCCAGCATATGTAAATATAGTATAAAAAAATTGCTAATCTAGATGTAGTGATCTGTCTGGGAAGATATTTCAGCAAGTCTTTTCATAGTCACTCTACTTTCCATCTTTTTGTTTCACCCTTCTTACATCCCCATCTTTATGAGCGCATACTGACTGTGGCCTAGTCATCACTTCCACTGCACATGGCTCAGACCTATTCTAGAGAGTGGGCAGTAAGCAGCATCTAAATTTCAGGAACTTCTTCCTACTGGGATTCTGACTCCGTGTATACTTTTCAACATGGTTCGTTACCCAAAATCACATTTAATGCTTTCCTTCTGTGTTTCCTAAAGTGCCATAGTGCAGACCTGGTGGCACATGCCTATAATCCCAGCACTTGGGAGGCTGAAGTAAGAGGTTTGCTATGAGTTTGAGGCCAGCCTGGGTTACATAGTGAGTTCAAGAACAGCATAAACTACATAAGGACATCCTGTCTCAAAAAAATAAAAACACACAGCAAAGCACCATAAATTGGGTGTCTTAAAACAACAAATATTTCTTGGCTCATAATATTCAAATTTAGAAATTTAAAATGAAGGTGTCACCTGGACCCTGCTTTCTCTATGGAGTACAGAGAAATTCTTCCTTGTATCATCCTAGCTTCCACAACTTTCCTAGCTTCTAGCAATACCTGGCATTCCTGGCATCATTCCAATACTCCATCTCCACATGGTTTTTCCCATGTCTTCACATGGCCATTTTCTTATAAGGACGCCTATTATATAGGATTACAGAGTCCATCTTACTTCAGTGCAGCCACATCCTATCTAATTACATTCACAAGGATATTTCCAAAGAAGACAACATTCTCATGAATGTTGGGACTTTGACATATCTTTGACACAACTCATAACAATTCCCTTTACTAAAAAATCATTCCATCCATTAATCTGAGTCACTAAATCTCGGTCACAACATCTCAGCAGCTTTCAAGCCCCTGCTAGCTACTACTACCACCACACACTGCCCATTCTTGAACAATAAAAACACCTACAACTCTACAATAGTGGCCTATAGAGGAAACTGCTATAAAGCACCTAGCATACCTGTTACTCTCATATCCATTCTGTCCTCCAGTGAAACCAAACTGCTTCACATCTCTCTGCTTTTACATATGCAGATCCTTCTATCAAAAATACCCTTCTCTTCCTAAACACATCACATTTTTAATTCTTTAAACTCGCTTTGACCTACAAATAACTTACTACATACAGTACATCCTACTATATATATGGTTTTTCTCTTTACTACACCTGAGGTCCTCAAAGTTAGACATCACATCTTTTGTGTTCCTAACATTTAATATGTGACCTGATCCACAGTAAATATTCATTAAATTAGACTGGTTTGTGGCTTTCTAAAAGTAACACATATCCAAAAACTTTTGCTTGAAGGGACAGATTCAGAAATGTGCTGCCAGAGAGAGTACATAAAAGAAACTAAAAAACTCAGGGGAAAAAAACAATAAAACACCATTGGCTAAAGAATTATCAAAATAGCTTTAAATTTTAAAAAAGCATTACTCATTGCATACCTATTAGAATGGCTAAATGAAAAGAAAAGACCAGCAATGCCAACTACTAGTGAACATGAGGAGAAACTCTTATACACAGCTGATGGGAATGTCAAATATACACCCCCTCTGGAAACCAATTTGACAGCTTTGAAGTTAAGCATACGCATACCATGCCGCAGCTATTTTACTATTTAACATAAATTAATGAAAATGAGGAGACCACAAAAGTCTATACAGTAAGTTCATAGTAACTCCATAGTCACTGAAAACTGAAAACCCAAATATCCTTCAACAAATGAATGGTAAACCAACTGGCACATTACACAATGTAACACAAGTCAGCAAAAAAAAAAAAAAAAGTTCAACAACCAGATAAATCTCAGTGAAAGACGCCCGTTTCAAAAGGTCCTACATCGGGGGCTGGGGATTTAGCTCAGCGGCAAAGCGCCTGCCTGGCAAGCGCAAGGTCGTGAGTTCGGTTCCTGATACCGGAGAAAAACCAAAAAAAAACAAACAAACAAACAAACAAACAAAAGGTCCTACACCATACAATTCCATCTGTTGCACATACTGAGGAAAAATAGAACTATAGTGAAACAAAACAGGTCTGTGATGGGTGGGCTAAAGTTGGGGACAAACACCAAAGTAATCCTTCGTAATGATGGAACATTTTCATAGCGTGCTGGTGGTTACAATTGCAGAGGTGTGCAAAAATTCATAAAACTGTACATCAAAAAGTTAATTTTACTGTGTATAAAATGTGAGGTAAATGTATTACAGTGGTACCTAAGTATTTGTCTTTAATTGATTCTGGGAGGCATGCTGAATATCAAAAATGAGGACAAATTGTTTTGGCTGGAAAGGGTAGCGACTTATGAGCCAGTCTATTTGAAATTATAGCGTGTGTATCAAGTACCAAACAAATGGTAAGTACTGGTAAGTACTGGGTAAGTATCAAAAGTATGACTGTACATTGTAGGCGTGAAGGCAAGCTCCCTTTCTCCTGCATCTCCATACGCTTTACTTCCAGACATGAACAGATTACTTTTCATGTAGGATTTTGAAGTAGAAATTAAACAGGTTTTCTAAGACGTTACAGACATTTATGCTGAAAGGCTGAATTATTAGATAATGATCTATAATCTTAGAGAAAGGCAAAGAAAAACTAAATAGACGTTAAAAGTAAAGAATGAATTTTCTCTCTAGTATTCACCTTTGTCCATGAGTTAATAATTACATCTTCATTTGATCTGATTTTTGGTATGTTTCTGCTACACTCAAAAGAAGTTTAAGAAAATGTAATTTAATTTTAAGAAGATAAAAACCTATTTTTATTTTGGAATTTCAAATAAAAAATAAAAGGGGTTGGTTGGTTGGCTGCAATGTTTGCATCAAATGCTTTAATTGATGAAAAAAGTCTCTTAAAATTCTAATGAAATCTACCATCAGGTTAAATGTAATGGAAGTTAATGTAGTATGTGAGGAATGACAGCATACTTGACACTTGGCCCCTGTCTCTGCTTGCCGGCTTTTCTTCCACTTCTGCTTATCTTGCTCCCTGTTTCTTTCCTAATATGTCATGACACTTCCCTCAGCAGTACCTTCCAGAATTTTGCCATAAGCCCAAATTATCTAGCTGCTTTCAGAAGCAATGCATGAAGTATAATTCATTGCAAAGGCTGTGAATTAAAATGTGACTAAAGGTAAAATTCAAATACAGTGATACTTTCTAAAACATAACAATAAGGGATATAAGTCCTCTAATAAGACATTTAACATATAATGAATGTAAAACATTTACTGTTTTAAAAAGCGTGTATGTCATATGTTATTTTTCAATATATCTTGCTAGTATATTAGAATGGTAATGAGTTTAAGTCTATAAATACAAGTATTAAATGTTGTAAAATATAATAAGCATATATTATCCAAAAAATAGCATTAATCACTCTGTGAATAATTTTGTTGGCCAAATTACTTTGAATACTACAGCTATTGAATAAATGGTTCAAATGTATATCCTAAATTCCAAATACTTAGTTGCCAAGGAAAAGAATAAATTCCTAGGTTTATGTAAATAAGTCACTTACTAAATGCAATTATAGAAGTAAGATGTTTAAGAAGATAAAGGTTCTTTCCAATTGCTAAGTGATGGTGGTTTTCTGCTTCCTTTACTCATCTACGAAATAAGAATGGCACCGAGTAGACACTAAACTCTGAAATGGTGATGTAAGTCACATGCCTATAGAAAACCAGCTCTAGGAAATGTTTCCTTGTGAACCAACAACTAAGCCAAAAAAACAAATCAATGTTACCTTTCTGCTGCTTTTTATTTACCTAATGAAGATGGATAAAATGAAAATTAGGGGAAAAAAGTTAGGGGGTAGAAAATTAAGCTTCTAGATACAGGATCTGAAAAACTGAAAGGTCTGTGGTGATGACTCCATCTTCCAGAACTGCTGTCTACATTACAAAAATATCTATGTCTTTATTTTTAGCCTTTAGAAACATAGTGAATATAAATTATTTTTAATACCTGGCAGTATTCTAATAAACTTTAGAACCATTCAGTGTTGGAATTTTGGAGTAATAATTAATTTTTAAGTCATAGTATATTATTACTTCATAAGAGGGTATAACTAACACACACACACACCCCTCAACTAAGTTTCCAGGCCTTAAAAGGAAGGTATTTAAACTAAGGTATTTACAAGAATATGTTGAACTATAACTTGTAAATATAAATAAAACAATGTGAATTTTCATAAATGAGAAAAATGTGGTGCAATTATACTTTTTTCCTAACAAAAGGTATTTCTTTAAATAGTTCTTATTTATTTAGTAATAATAACAAATATTCTCATGTAGGATAAATGTAAATGAAAATACTGATATCATTTTCAATGGAAATATAAAATTTAGAAAATATTTTCTTTTGCTCTCAGGAGATAAATTCTAGGTTCCTTATATTAAAAGACATTATTTCAATACTACATTATGTGAATTATTACTACTCTTCAGTTTTTCCCGGAACTTGTTCAGCCCTGGACAAATCTTCTTCATATTTCTTCTTGAGATTACTTAAATACATTCGTAAACTGTCTGGATCCAACTGAGAGTTTCGAGCAGTTTGAACAAGTCTAGTTGCAAGATGGTACACGGCTCTCTGTTTTTCCATCTCAGGGGTACTCCTTTGTTTTTGCTGTTATTAAAAATATATAAAAATTTAAAAATACTATCATTTTTATGTTGATCATAATTTGGCACTATTCTAATTCCTTTTATAGAAATATGAGACTCAAGGATTAAATAATACCTTTAGATAAATTAGTTCAATCCAACTAGCAAAAAACACACTGTAAGAAACGAAGAAATAGCCAGGTATGGTAGTGCACATGTGTCATTCCAGTGCTCAGGAGGCTGAAGCAGGAGGGTCACTGTGAGTTCAAGGCCAGCCTGGGCTACAGAGTGAGACACTATCTCAAAAAAATAAACAAAACAAAAAAATTGCTGGAGTGAAAGAAGCCATGTATTATACTGGCCAGCCTGAACCACACTGTGAGACCCTGTGTCAAGAAAAGAAGGAAATGGTATTTGGATGAATAAAATTTCTCATGAGCTTTTACTACTTTATGACATACGTTAATACTCTGAGAATCACTTATTTGTGAAAAAAAAATTCTGCTAAATAGGCCAAAGTCCTCAATACCGTACCAAAAAGTAATAAACAATCCAATAGAAATAGGTTCTAAAAACACTTTTTCATTTAAAAAGGTATAAGAATACAGCATAGCTTGCTGCTACACAATGATCATAATTTTTAATGTCACCCAAGGATACTACTCTGCTATCTACCATTTTAATTTCTCATCACTTCTAAAGAGAATTTGTGAGTAGCAATTAATTATTGGAGCCTAAGAAAAAATACTGCCTGAAGGGTAAAGTACATTTTAAAAATAACAAAGTTATTTGAAATTATGCTTTTAATCTTCACAAACCATACTTAAGGATACCTATGCAATAGTATTTAAAACAGGAATTTTGAAGGCCTTTAGATATTTAATCCTTGCATAGTATCATGGCTAGGAATACAGGTGGAAAATTTTTAATTCATGTCTTTGTCTGAGCTAGACAGAGGATAAAATGTTTTCAGCTCTTACTATTTGTATATATCTCAGTGAATTTCCCAGAAATACAATCCCTTCAACTTTTTCTCAATAGTAAGCAATTCTGAGTATTTTTCTACTTTCACTATAGGAAAAATGAGTAAGATTTCATGCGGTAGACCAAGATAATCATATCTTCACCCTTCATCTATCTATTTGATATATTTATCAATTACCAATTAAACCATTTTATTTCAATTACAGTTACTGAATATATATTACCATCTCTGTGCTGGGCCTCAAAGCTTGTGTTTTATGTCTGTGGAAAACTGTATACTTGATATAACTGTACCCTTGATAAGGAGCTTATAGTCTTCTGGTGAAATGGCTTGTTACAGTATTTGTGAAAAGTTCCATAAGAGAGATACAAAATGCATACAGGAAGGGACTCACCGCCAGCTCAGATTAAGAAAGGCTTACATAAAATGGAGTATTTGGAATATATTTGATGGATAGAAGAGTCTAGAAGGAAGGGTATTCTGAATAGAAGAAAATAACTAGAAGAGGTACTTTAGAGACCATAGTACATGATCAGGTTGAAATGATAAAATGACAAGTAACTAAATGTGACAGAAATGTAAATTATGCAAAATTTAAGTGATGTGATGTAAGGCTGATGTGACAAAGAGGTGATCTTTAAGCAAAAAATAACAAACTTTAGAGTCATCTGAGAATTGGGAAAAAATAAATTCTGAGCCACAAGAGAACTTTGAAAATATAGGATGGTTCAGTATCCCATGTTATTCTAATGTAGGTAATTCTAAAACTATATTTTGAAAAATAATTATAGAAGACTTTTAATACTAGGATGAAAATTCAGTTTTTAACCTAAAAAAATAGAGTAAGATGTCAAAGGAAATATGGAGAGCTCAGGAAAAAAGAAAATGGAAGCCACGAAAAAGAATGAGATCATCAAGACTATGGATTTTTAAAAAGGAAACAAGAACAAAAGTCTTAGAAACACTTAGAGATAAGTGGAGACAGAAAGGCACTGGGAAAGAAGGGAAAGAAGGAAAAAATCAGTGAGGCAGGAGGACAACAACTTCCAGGAAATAATAATTCCACAGCAGACAAGACAGACAGAATTAAGAAAGGAGGAAGAATGGTAACGTCAAGTGCCACAGATCAGAGAAGGAGAGAAATGAGAAAGAAAGGCGGGGGCTATAAGGTATCTTTGATTAGCTGAGATTTAAGAAAGAAGTTCCAGCGGAGATGACAAGACTCAGTTTGCAAGTACGTAATGGAATAGGCAAGTACAGATTAGCCTTGAGTTTATAGTAAAGACGGTAATGGGATAATAGTTTAAAAAGTAAAGTTTAAAAAAAAAAGATTTTTAAAAAATCTTTACTGGGAGAAATAAGTGTGTTGATAGAAAAAGCAAAATCCAGTGAAGAAAGTAGGAGGAAAAAGAAAGGAAACTGAGAAAATAATATCATAATGGAAAATGAAAGAAGTTAACCTTAAAATGACTGAGAGAGCAAGTTCTCCCTCTAAAATAGGAGGCGGGAAAGGTGAGTAAGACACAGAAATTTGCCAAACAAAATTTTGCAGGAATTATGCAAAAAGACTCATCAAGATAATTTCAAGTTTCTTAAAAAGTTTAGTAAATTATCTGAAGAATTGGGGCAGGAAGAGTGAAAATGTTTCGAAAGAGATACTGTAAAATAGTCACAGAGATCAGTAAGAAGAGAAACAATTATCCAGTAAAAAATCATCTAAAGTTAGAATATATGAATTCATAGCAGATTAAAATTAGCCTGTTTTGAATATTTCTGGAGATCATTAGGAAAGCAGAACCTAGAGGACTAGCAGAGAGGTGGCCTATAACTGGAATTCGGCAAGAGGAAATCTGAAGAATTAGGAGGCGAGAGGTACTTTAAAATGAGCACTGTCAAAATTGCTGATGAAGGGATTCAAATTGGAATTTACGCATGAGAAGTCACAGAGACAGTCCAGGAAATTAAAGGAGGAAAGAATGCAATAAAAACATGGAAAGCTGATTAAGAAAGAAGAAAGAAAACTATTATTGAAGAAATTTTCACACTGCACCTACCTCAGGTTACTGAACACATTAGATTTTTAAAACACTATAAAGTAACCTAATTTAGAAAAAGATTTCCAAATTTTGTATCAACAGATATGATTTCAGTGCTGGGCCCATGGCCTCCTAGCAGATCATTTAATGTCTTTGAACTGGTGAACACGAAAGTAAAAATAGCATTTTTATTATTTACTGTTTATTAGTAACTGCTACTCATTACTATTAGTAACTACTTCACGAAGAGATATGAGGTTCACAAATGATAATGGAAAGAAGAGCTTGGAAAATTACAAAAAACTAATGTACTATGTTGTTCATAGTGATCACTGTTTTAAATGCCCTTTTTATTATTATGTCTAGGGGAGGGTTGAGACAGGGTCTTGCTGTGTAGTCCAGGCTGGCCTTGAACCCACTATGTAGCCCAGGCTGGCCTTGAACTCACCGAGAGCCTCCTGCCTCAGGCTCCCAAGTACTGAGATCACAGGTGTGCTACCATGCCTGACAAATGCCCATTTTAAATAAATGCATTTTCTCATCATAAAGACAGTTAACAATACTTACTGGAGGAACTGAACTTAACTTTTATCTCCTATTCTATTAGCTGTCTTGCTAGGCAAAGTTATAACAGACCAAACCAAAAAAATTTTTAAATGTAAAAGGGATTTTCTTTGTCTATACAAATTAGGAATTAGGGTTTTATTTTAATTATTAATATTCTATATATTTAGAACAAATTCCATAAAGAAGGTACATGGAAGGTATTTTAACTTGAAAACAATTCTTACTAAAAAAAGTATTTACCAAAATTTGTCCCGTAATCTGAGTTGAGATTTCTTTGGCATCCAAGACAATTGATGGTGGAAGTGATGACACCTCTGCAGCTTTTAACCCTACAATTATATTTAAAAAGCTTCAATATTGTTGTTGCTAGTTTTTTATGTTTGTTTCAACTAATATTAATCTTCACAGATTTGAATCTCCCTTCTATAAGTATTTCTGAACTACTCAGTAATTCTCAAAATTAAGTTTTCAAAAACACTGGATAACACCTTACCAATTATTAGATTTAATTCCATGTCTAAACATAAAGGCAAATTGCCTCTGAAAATACCTCTGAATTAGTGAGAAGGAAAGAGACAGGAAAAATAACATTACAATTCCACTTGGGAATACAACTGGTTAGTAAAAGATGGAGTTATTGTACAAGTTTTCAGGGGAGGAGAAGGTATAGTCACAGATATAACCCTACAGACTGGAATTTCTCAGAAGGTACAATGGTAGATGGCTGATCTTTATGCAAATTCAAAGTATCAGCAAGTTTTCCCATGTTTTCAGAATTTACTTTTATTGTATAAATGCCATATAGGCTTTCTACTGAGTACCATATTTATATCATATTTACAAACACATGGGAGCATCAAAAGATGTAGTGAATGTTTAAATTTTAAAAAGTTACAGTAAAAGACACATTGCCAAGAATGATGTGTGAGTGTGTTTCAAGGAAGGCGAATACTTTGAATATTTAAGGAGGATTAATGCCATCATGTCTTTTACTGTAATAAATTTTTAAATTTAAACATTCACTATGGGTTTTGGTCAGCCCTCATTGGTTGAATGCTTAATGGCAATTTCTATCAAATAAAAACATTATTCACCAGATTGGCACCATCACCATGTGACTTCTGCCTCTTCCCCAAAGTCAAAATGACTATAAAAGGTAAATACTTTGAACAGACTCAGGCACCAATGTATCTGTCTTCTTATATATGTATATAAAATGTGAGTTTGACAAGAAAATATAATCTGAGAATATATATATATACACACACACATATATAAAGTGAGAGTTGTTCAAATGGATGGCAAGTATAGGGAATATGGGATATTTCAGTATGCCTTTATTTGTTTTGTGGTGCTGAGGATCGAACCCAGGGCTTTGCACATGCTAGACAAGTAATCTACCATTAAGCTACATGCCCAGCCCCCATGTATAGGTATAATTTATACATTCAATACCGTAGTTTTTTTCTTCCGTAAGGCCCTTAGAAAGTTTGTAGGTATACAAAATTGCTTCTTTGTTTCTTGAGGTATTCTTTACATGCTCAACTTCAAAATGCATGTTCTCTACATTAGGATACAAGGCATCGATATGACAGAGTTCCAGGAAATGTGTAGCAAACAGTGTAAATGCCTAAAATATGTAAGACAATGAATATTAGTGCTTTTTAAATGAACCAGCAAATTCTATCTTAGCTATTTAGACCTAAAACTTTAATTTTCCAACTAGCTTGTCAGAAATATAGGAATGAAACTAAAATTGGAGGCTAACATGATCAATCCATTTTAAAGAACTTTGAAATTTCATATTCAATGAAGTAGTATATTATTATGTCTTTGCAATTAATTATATCATAGGTAAGGATAAATCCAGAAGTAAATCATAAGATATATATCTAAAAATATGAAAGAATGAAGTTTATCAGAAATATAAAGGTATTAACTGAGGTAATTATTTATTAGGGAAAGTAATTATATACACACATACATACATATACATATAATCTTGATATTTCCTTCGACTTTTTTTTTTTTGGTTTGTTTGGTACTGGGAATTGAACTCATGACCTTTTAGTGTTACTAAATGAAATAGAAATATGAATAATCACTTAAGTTTTAAGATATTACCAATGAGAAACTAAATAAATAGATGAGGGTTAGAAAGTTAAATATTAAGACAATAAAAAGATATTTGCTTGGCAAAATAGCTGAACACAGAATATTGGCAACAAGGACAGGAAAGGTTTTATATACATGAAAAATATGTAAAAATGAAAATTCTCAACTACCCACTTGCTAGGGTTTGGATATGGTTTAAACAAGCTTGCTGTGGGTGAGCTGTTGGAAGTCTGGTGTTCAGTGTGGTACTGTCGAGAAGGGATGAATTTTTCAGAGGTGGGGCTTAATGGGAGGAGACTGGGTCACTGGGGCACTGGTCCAGGAGGGAATTAGTGCTGGTCTCTTGGAGGGAGTTGTCATGAGACTGAGTTGATGTGAAGAACAAGACTGGCCATTCTTGCTCTCTGGACTGAACTATTTAGAAGCCATGGACCATGTTCAGTCACAAAAGTGGCTGCAAAAATTATGTATCAAACCAAATTTTGAACTCCTATTCAATGTTAACTCCATTTAACATTTAATAGTTACTCAGTCCCTACATATTGCAAGTATTGTGCTGAGCACCAAGAACACTAAGTTAGCAAAATAATAATAAACTTCAAGATCCTTAAAAGTAGCAATATTGCATATTTACTACTATGTTATTTATCCTAAAAAAATATATTCACTGAAACCATTATTATTAGTTATTATAGCATATCAGAGAAATGGAATATTATATATTATTTGGGTTCTCTAAAGAAAAAGACTAATAAATTTGTGTGTGTGTGTGCGTACAAACTTATACAGAGTTGGCTCATAACCATTAAGGCTTACAGGTTTTAAAATCTGAAGTTTATAAACTGAAGATCTAGGACAGTCAGTGGCATAATACTAGTCTGAATGCCAACTTTTCTCTCATGAGAAAAGGAAATAAAAGTACTTAATTAATACATAACACATACACAAACATTTATAACAAAAAAGAAGAAAGACTCATGATAATCCGAGTCCTCATTTCCATAACTGGGAATGTGGCCATAACTGCTCCCACTACATGTTTTGCTACCCCTTCACTTTCAGCAAGTACCCTAGCTATTCACAGCTCTTTATCTAGTGGTGTGACCCACATCTTCATTCCTGAAGTGCGCTGGCCATTCACAGTCCTGCTTGGATTGGGCTGCTCTAGTTTTCCACCGACCTTAACCACAAAGCAGAACACTAACAGACACCTTACTGAATCAACTTTTCATTATATAATAAAATACCTCAGGCAATCAAGTTTATTCTTATAAAAAAAAGTATCTTTGGGCTCACAGTTTTAGAGGTTACAGCCCAAGGTCAGCGGCCCATGGTTCTGGGGGAGTGGCAAGGCAGTACATTATGGTGACTGTGTGTGGCAGAGGAAGCTGCTCCCTGTGTAGTGGGTGGAACGTAAAGAGAAAGAAGTGCGGGCAGCATCCCAATGTCTTCCTCATAGGCTGCACCCCAGTGAACTAACCTCCTTTTGCTAGGTCCCACCTCTTGAAGATCCCACAGTACTCCAACAGTGCCATGAGCTGGGACAAAGCCTTTAGCACATGGGCCTTTGCGGACACTTGTCTAGACATAGCCCAGAGGCAGTTCTATTAACTCCCATTTGGCCTTTTCTACCATAATTCCCATCAGTCTACAGGTCAGGAAAATTTTTCCAGCTGTTTAGCAACATCCACTCTAATTATACATCCTGGAACTGGAGAAACAACCACAGGATGTTTAAGTCCCTAATCTGACTCACATCACTGTGATATTTTGAGTCTCCTTGGATGACATTTTAAAATCTGATTTATTGCCTTTTTCCAGTAAAAAGCTATTCTGGTAAAAGGCTATAGGTCACTTTGGGGAAGGCTAGGGGCAAAAGTAACAGTATACAGTGGCTGTCCCTCCATATCTGTGGGTTCCACATCCATGGATTCAATCAATCACAATAGAAAATACATGACAAAAACCTGGATGTGTATTAAACAGGTACAGACCTTTCTTGTCATAATTCCCCCCCCCAAAAAAAGTGTGATCTATGAGTCAAATCCTACCAGAACCAAGATCTGCAGGTAAGGTTCTCCAGAGAAAGAGAATCAATGGTGTGTATGTATAGAAATTCATTATAAGGGACTGGCATATAATTATGGAGGATGATAACTTCCTGGATGGTATATGCTAGTCCAGAATGCCAGTGATTTTGAGAACTGGAAGAGGCTGATGTTTCCATTTGATTCTAAGGGTAGAAACTAACCAATTTTGCACATTAAGGGCAGTTAGGCAGGAGGTTCCCTCTTACTCTGGAGAATTACACTTTTTGTTCTATTTAATATGTTGCTTTTTAATATGTTGGCTAGGGCCCACTAACATTAGGGAGACAATCTTTCTTTACTTAGTCTACAGCTCAACTGTTTTTAATTCCAGAAACACTCTGACAGACAGATCCAGAATAATGTTGACCAGATGCCTGAGTACTCAATGGTCCAGTCACACTGACACTTAAAATTAATAATCATAGAAACAAATTAGCTTTTAGTCTTAAGTAATGCAGCATCCTATTTATATGAGAAAATGACATTTAAAAAATCACAAAACTAACATTATTTACTAACATTACTTTTTATTAATCACATACTTTTCATTAAATATAAAATATTTTCCTAATTGTATATAATAAACCATTACAAACTGTCACTTAAGGTAAAGAACTCTACTTTTCAGACATTCTAAGGTATTTTAAATATGAAAAATATCTGTTTTTCGTATGTATATGTATTTTGAGTGGTCTAAAAATATTATCTCACAAAGTACTTTAAAAATAGAGCAAAAATCATTGTTTTATATAACTGATTTGTGAAAAACTATTTTCTTTAAAATAATGGAACTTTAGGTAAGCAGAGTAGAATTTTTAGAGTTATCTAAGATGCCTTGTGCTTTAATTCATGTTGTGATGTCACAGACGTTATTACATAATGGAAGTTATTAAAATATAGTCCTATTTTACTGTGTAATTTGATTAAATTAAAGCCAACCAACCATGACATTATTTGTATTTCTTGATTTTTCTCCTTTCCTTATTTTTGTCATGGCTGCTATACTAATTATTCCTACTTCAATGAGAACTCAAGTTCCAGAAATATACACGTTATGCATTTTCTACCTAAAGCTGTTTTAAAAGCTATTTTTGGTGCCAAGAAAATACAGTCCTGATAAATATATAAGTCGTACATCAGAAAAGGACTAAAAATTAATCCATTTCTAATAAATGGGGACGAATACCTTTAAGTTCAGCAGATATTCACAAACAGCATAGCAAATGCCAATGCCTTCTTCTGTATTAGTTCCTCTGCCAAGTTCATCAATTAGTATGAGTGATTTGTCATTAGCATTATGTAGAATATATGCTATCTGAAAAATATAATTTTATTCTTATTCATTATAACCAAACAGCTGTCACTGTCATAGAAAAAATGAAGAGAAACTCAGTCTGTTTATTAGTTTATCTGAAATGTATTTTAATAGAGAAATCCTGCTGAGCAGAAAATAACTCACTGCCTCTCTCAAAATCTCATTACTAACAATTCTGAAAGGACAGAAGATATACACAGACACATGCACATGTATATGAGACAACAAAGAGTAAATAATTATTATCTAAATTATTGATGTTTTAGATGAAGTGAAATAAAACAAAGCAGTGAGTTAAATGTTTAAATAAAGTACAGAGGTGATCATTTTCTTCTCCACGAATGACTAATCACTATCACGAAATGCTCAAAACCATTTCACAAATTTACTATCAGATTTACTACCATTCTATAGGCAATAAAGAAGGAAAGAAAATTCAGGGAAAAGTATCCATGTCTTAGTAATTGTTTGTTTACCAAATAAATTAAAATCCTTAACCACAAAGACTAAGAATGAATTAAACTGACATAAATGCTTTCTCCCTGAAGAATATTAACTCCTTCTCAGAAGATAGAAGGTATTTTAAATATTAAAAAATAGCTGTTTTTCACATGTATATATATTTTAAGTAATCTAAAAATATTATGTTACACATTAGTTTAACAATAGATCAAAAGTTATTGTTTTGTATAATTGATTTATGAAAAATTGTTTTCTTTAAAATAATGAAATTTTAGATAAGTAGAATATATTTTAGGTAAGTAAAGTACCCATATTATATTTAACACAATAGTAACCTTGATAAACATTTTACCTTTCTCTAGGACCAAGCTCCTTGAAGGCTACAATTGTTTAAAAATGTACCTCAAGTACCTAGTATATTGCTATATTTCCACATAGACACTTGACAATACTAAGTAATTATATAAGTTGTGTGACAAATAGTTCTATTTATCTCCTATTTGCAGAAAATTAGTCCACTGTACATGACCTAATAATTCCCATTTTGTACAGTTATTCCAAGAGCCATACTTAGTTCCTTTAGTCTTCAAGCCTACCCAATTTATTCTGAGGTCAGAAATAGGGAAAGAAATATTCTGGTACAGAAGGGAAAATTCTAAAGGCAAAAAGTAGAATGATTTTTAAAAGTCTGTGAACAGTTATCTTTTATTTTAAAAACAAGCCAAGAGAATAAATACAATGCAAAATGGTATTGAATATATCACTGTTTTATGAAAAGCCTTTTAAATGTTCTATATAAAACATGTAAGCACACTTTTTTCCATAACATTAGCTTTTTCTTTTTAAAATATTTTTCATAAAATATTAACTACCATTTCCACATAAGACAGAAATGAGGAAGCTGTCTTTGACTGCCCTCTGGCTCCCAGAAGGAGTATAAGCTCATCTGCAAGTTTTAATAGATAGATACTTTTCTTACAGGATAATTGACCATTAACGTAAAATTTAATGTTAACATAAGAAAAGTTTTGTTTGGGTACCTCTTTCATTTCCTTCATGAATGTTGACGAATTTGTTTCAATATCATCGTCAGTACTGATTCTCGTAAAAATCTGTTCAGCAATTCTAAAGGAAGAATATTCTGCTGGAACATAAGATCCTGTAAAATATAAAGTCAAAGTAAATTGAAATACTTTTTAAAAATATAAGTATTAACAATATTTGTACTTCTTAGTTTATTTAGTCTAATCCTGTGGCTGGAAAAAGCAAGGGATATGGACTTAGAAAATTTGGGCCCACCTCTGTCACATATTGCACAATCTTGATCACTTAAACTCTCTCAGTCTCATTTTTTCCATTATTAAAATTGAAATTATTGTCCTACCAACTGCATAAAGTTATTTAGAAGCTCAAATAAGATACTACATGTTTATATCAGAAAGGGATTATTCTAAATGTGATAAAAATTTTAAATAATGTTTAAATGACTAATAATATTCAAAATAAATTTTGAAAGGAATGCTTATAAAGCTTATAAAATATGACTATTTTAAGGAATGCTATTAAAGCTCAATTGATAAAACCATTACAGGAAGATATATTAGAAAATATGCTATTATAAATATGCAAAAATGTCCAAAAACAGAATAAAAGTAAAACATTTAGTAAAAAGAAAAGAAAAATTATCATCCACAAGACTGTTTTTACCTGAGAAGCTCTTATGCTAACTAACCTAAAATATTCATCTTTTGAACACAAGTCAATCTGACTAATGTATCTATCTCTCTATATAATGAAATACAAAAATTCTAGTATCATAAAATGATAAAATATATAACAGAACAGTAGAACAGGATAAAAGTATCACAGAACTCTGGATATGTAAAATGGTGAAATAACTGGAGCAAAGAAACAGAGCCCGATTACTATGTGATTTAAAACAAAAGGAAGAATGAAGAATAGAGCCTAGCTTTACAGAATAAAGATTAGCAGGAAAAGAAACCAAAGGTCAGACTAACAAAACTAAAAGTAATAATAATAGTACTTATAATGATCATACCTGCTCTTCCTATAGTTAGACATTTTATGTTCATTTTCTCTGCTCAAAAATAATCCACTGAAATTGGTAAAATTCTTATTTTATCAATGAAAATGTGAAGACTCAGAATAACAAAACCAGTAAGATGTCATTCTGCTGTGCTACTCTATTTTAAAAGTTTTCTTAAAACCAGGGATTACAAACTTAAAGCAGCTTCTGATATATCATAATGGCATGATAAATGTTTGCTAAAAATAAGTGATGAAGCAAGCCGTAGAGCCACAGTTTGAATCAGAACTGTCTGGCTCAAAACAAAACAAAACAAAACACTATTTCTCCAATACTATATACCCAGAATGACCTGCTACCTTCTTCATATTCTGCAGAAGCATAGACAGTTTGTTAATTTAGAGCAAAGATTCTAGAGTCAGACCGCCTGGGTTTGAATCCTTCCTGTTACAAGCTACATGATCTTTCACAAAAGTAATAAGTAGTTATTTCTCAATGCTTTACTGATCTACAATACGGAGGTGAGAGTAAGACATTAATTTTTATTAATAAGCTATGAATGTATTATAATAATACATACAAAGAATGGGAAAGAGTGCCTGGCACAGTAAATTGTCAGGATTAGCAATTATGGCAAGTGGGACAGACTAAGCAAAGAACTAACACTGGGCGATTGTGGGACGTCTTTAAACCTGACCTTCCTCATTATATAAACATTTATTATTTACTAAAAGTCTATGATGTGCTGGGGTAAATAAAACAGACATGAACTCAGTTCTCAGAGAACAAAACTTATTGATCTCTTAAATAAAACATTTTTACAGGGTTTTCAGAAATAATAAATGAAAAATGAATGTGAAAGTGACAGGGAAAGAATACTGCATATATTATTAATTGGTATGTTTTATTTCTCCTCTCTCTTAGCCTCCACCAGAAAGGTCTTCAACATTTCTTATCTATAACAGATGATCAAATACATGGTGAATTTTTTTAAAATGACAGTAAAATACACATTGCCATTAGCCCCCTCAAAATCCTCTCCTTTGCTTCAAACACACTTACTTCTGGAAGTCCTCTTTCATAAGTCTTTATGAAGTGTGATCAAAAATACAGTGAGGGCCAGCAATATAGCTCAGTGGCCCAGCAACTGCCTGGCAAGTGCAAGGTCCTGAGTTTGATTCCAGGTACCAAAAAAATAAATAAAAATACAATGAATGCTGTGGGAAGGCAGGCTTGTAAAATATATTGAAATGTCTCCTCATTCACTTTATTCATCAGATCCATCACCACATGACTTGTGGCTCTTACTCAAAGTCAGAATGATGAAAGGGTTTTCAATCAATTCAGGACGAGGCAGCCACAACAGTGCAACTAAAGACATGTATGCAAGAAGATTTCACAAACTCCTTCATGAAGTGGCAAGAATGGTGAGCTAAGTGTGTTTGAAGCTAAGGGGAAAACTGAGGAGGATTAGTGGTAATGTGTCTTCTACTGTTATAAATTTTTAAAATTTACACATTAATTGTATCTTTCAATCACACTTTGTGTTCAGAAGCTTCTGGCTGGGGTTTCACTTCTGGGGTGGCTCTAATCTATAAATACCAAGAGTGATTTAAGTGAAATCTGATCATGCCTTTCTCTTGCTAAATTTCCTCAATATCTCCCCACAGATTGCTGGATAAAGTTTAGTCCCCCCCAGTTAAGTGCTGAAGGCCTTTCATGATACAATTCCTATTGGTTTCTACAGTGATTCTGCCACTTCTGGGAGAACAGAAGCTAGTCAGGCTCTCTTTGCTCAAAAATGCAAAAGAACTACAAAACGTGGGACTGTTTGTTGTTCCTTGAGCAAATGAGACCTTATACCATAGTCTTACATCTGCCTGGAAAGTTCTTTCCTTTATCTTCCCCTTCAACCCATAACATATTATATACATTATCTCAGTCCTTATAACAATTCTATTGTCAGAGCTGGGGATTTAGCTCAGCGGCACAGCGTCTGCCTGGCAAGTGCAAGGTCGTGAGTTCAATTCCCGGTACCGGAAAAAAAACAAAAAAAAACAACAAAACAATTCTATTATCATCTTAATTCACAGAGAAGAAAACTAAAGCTTAATGAAGTTAAGTAATTTGCTTAAGATTACACAGTTAGCAAATGGACAATGTAGATTTACCTCCAAAGTCTACACTGTTAACTTCAATGCCCTTCAAATCCCATTGTTTGTTTAGCCCCAAGACCTTATGAGATATGATACACTTTAAGGTGTTTCAGAGGTTTAAAAAGGACAGTGACAAGAGAAATAGAATAATTATCTACAAATATTTGAAGGACTACTACTACTACTATCAGAAAGAAAGACTAGGTTATTCTGTGATACACAGAAGAAAATAATAATACTAATAAGTACAAGTTATGAAAAGTCAGATTTCAATCCAGTATCATGAATGTGTTAACAATCAGAGATCTCCACACATTGAACACCCTGTGTTTTAAAAAACAGAGCTCCTTATAGCTCCTCAGAAGCATTATGTCATATGTGAGCCAGATAGTTCTAATAATGGAAAGAAAAGTAGCTAAGATGTCCTCTTAATTCTAACAAAATTCTAAATTCATTAAGATACTTAATCTTCACTCATTCATTCACTGATTTCTGATTTCTTGCCCAGAAGTGAGAAGAATTTGCTCTGTATTGCCAATATTATTGCTGTGTTTCCTTATAATTCGTAACATTAGACCAAGGTTGCTCACCCATAACTCTACTAACACTTTGGGCTCAATAATCTTTCTTATATACTGGTGAATGGGGAAAGGGAGAGAGAAGGAAGCCGTCTTGTCACTGAAGGATGTTAGCAGCATCCTTGGACTTATCTCCCTAGTTGTAACCACCAAAAGTGTTTCTAGACCCTGCCAAGTTTCTAGGGCTGAAGGGTAAGAAACTCTAACCACCCCTGGTTAACAACCACTACATTAGGGCCAAGAATCTCATTTCTGACTCAAACTGCACTGAAGGAAACCCAGTTGACAGATAGGAGTTCAGTTATGCTTCAACATCAAGAACTGTGTGACAGTGCTGGGCCAACGGCAGCCACCTCAATGTGTGTAGGCAGATACTGCATATACATGTTAATATCCCAACTGTTACCTGTACTCCTCAAGTTAAGAGAAGTCTCTCTGCCTAAAATTATAATTTTGGGAAAATCTCACAAGGGTTATTAAAGGCAATGGTTTATCTCACTCATTTCATTCTTTTTCACAACAAAGTTCATTTTTAAACCTGAAATAATTACATGATTGAATAAAATAATAACTGATATAACATTAATAATTACAGTAAAGAAGTTTCTAATTCCGTAATATTTCAAAATGAATGTCATACTATTAAAACTTGGAAATGCAATCCAAATTGAATGGAGCTTTAGAAATATCACTAGTAAAAGATATGGTCTACATAATAGATACATTATTGTACTTTTAAATAAGAGAATCTACTTCAAACTTTTCTTAGGTAACTAAAGTTCAAAACTGACTTAGGTAACTAAATTTAAATACTTAGCACAAAGTATTTGAAAATTGAACAGAATTGATAACTATAAAGTAAAATCAGAACTTACCAATCTGGGCCATAATTTGACAAAGAGCAATCTGCTTTAAATATGTGGATTTCCCACTCATATTTGGCCCAGTTATGATCAAAAAGTTACTGCCTTCGGTTATATAGGTATTGTTGGCAACTGGTTTTTCCACAGATATTTTTTCAAGAATGGGATGCCATCCCTGTTTTATAGCTAAAGTATCAGTAAACTCTGGTCGAACTGAAGAAAAACAGAAGATGAGTTTTAAAGATTAATATTTTTATACCTGAAGATTTTGTGGTATGTATATACTGTACATGCATTAGTGATTTTATCAGGGTCAATTTGGGGCAATAATATTAATGTATTATTTAATCCCAAATACCTCAATCCCCTTAAATTATAATGGATACATTCTAATCATTTTTACAGTATTCACTTTAGAGAAATTGAATTTAGCTCCTTGACACTATCTTGGGATTCAAAACAGCTCATAAAAATTTCAGGTTTGTATAGATTAAAAAGACCAAAGTAGGGGTTGGGGATTTAGCTCAGCAGCAAAGCGCCTGCCTGGCAAGCGCAAGGTTGTGAGTTCGGTTCCCAGTACTGGAGAAAAGCCAAAAAAAAAAAAAAAAAAAAAAGACCAGAGTAATGGTGAATGTTATTTTTAAATTTTACTACAGAACTGACAATTTGCTTACCCTAACTTAAACATTATTTTAAATGTGGCATGCTTTGCTTTTAAAATAGGGCTTAAATATAGGGCAAAACCAAATATAAATATAATTTTCTGTCCTACTTCCTGGGGAAAGTTTGTGTAAAATGAAATTTCAGAGTACAGAGAAAATCAAATGCAAAAGATTTGCTAATTTATAGCAACAAATAATGATCAGGTCTTTTGGGACACCATTTGAGGTAGAGAGAAAAGGAAGAAGGTAGAAAGAAAAGTGAAAACTAAAATGCTACACAACTCTAAATCAAATTCATGGATAAACTTGAAAACATTCAATATAAAAGTAAAGCTGTTTGAAAAAATATCAAGAGTCTTTCAAATATTCACTATGTTTTGGAAGTTAAGTATGATACCTTTCAAATTAAAATGGAATAATTAAATCTCTTAATAGTTAAGAAAACTACTACTAGACTAGCTGATCCCCAAGGTAAGGTTTTTACTCCCAAAGAGATATAAAAGATTTAGAAATTTCAGTCTATGAAATGTCAGAGGGAAAAGTTAACATTTCCATAAGAAATCAGGAAATGTGAAAAAATCCTTGTAAGATACATCTTATAAAAATAAATTAACATAATAATTTGGAAATGATACTTCTGATTTTAATTAGAGATTTTAGTGTATTTACTGTTATTAAGGCTACAATTATTCAAGCATAATCACATATTAGGACTGTCAATTTGCATGTTAAAATATAGTTATTAATGACAAGTTGGATAAGAAATTTCAAGGGCCTAACTTGATTAAAGTACTCTTCAATATTAAAAAATTACTTAAATTTGTATTCTAGGCCTCTGGGTAGACTTAGAATACAGAAGTAAATGACATATTCCTGATTTTAGTATGCACGTATCTAAAGAGTTAGTAAGTGAAAATTCTGACTATCGACATATATCTCTCTACAGTGGTACCTCAGTTGTCGAACTTAATTCATTCCAAATTTGTGTTTGAACACCAAAAAGTTCAAGAACTGAGCATATTTTTCCTATAAGAAATAAGGAATCCAAATGATTCATTCTGAGGCCCAAAAATTACACAAGCAATATATTGGTGGTGGCAAACCTATGGCACACGCACCATGTTATTGTGTTTTCCTTTTAAGACAAAGTATGTTCATGTAGAGCTTTTTATATACACATACACTAAAACCTTGTATTCAGGTTTAGTTGCAGCATTTGTACTTTGTGATAAATAAGTGGGTTTGAGGTTGCAGTTTGGCACTTGGTCTCTGAAACGTTTACCATCTCTGCACTATATGTTGCCTGGTGATGTCAGCATTTAGACTGAAGAGTCACGTCTTTGTGTCAATGTCAAGATGCAACGCATGACTCACTCTTGGCTCATACAGGTAGGTATGCATGTATGTAGGTATGTATGTATGCACTCGGTCTTTTGTGACTGGATTTCAGTATGTAGCCCAGGCTGGCTTCAAACTTGCAGCAATCTTCCTGCCTTAGCCTCCCAAGTGCTAGGATTACAGGCATACACCACCCACCACACCTGGCAACGTACAGATTTTTTCAAGTCGGATTTTCAGTTGGACTGTTCAGCGAAGTTATGAACACCAAATGGATTTCTTATAACTTTGCTGTAGGAGTAGTGGAAAGTTGGAGCATGGAGCTGTTCAGCAACTGAGATATCACTTAGGATTTCTCACACTGTTCCTTCGAGTATTCAGATGTGAACTTTATATATTTAGATCAGGGCCATTTTCACCAAGAGGACAGCTTTGCAGTCCTATCTGAAAAACCCTTAAAATTTCTTGCAATTTTTTTTCTTTTTCATTTGTCAATTTCTAAGTGAGTAACTTTTTGAATGTTGAAAGAAATTTTAAGGATAGGGCTGGGGATTTAGCTCAGCGGCACAGTGCCTGCCTGGCAAGCATGAGGTCGTGAGTTTGGTTCCCGGTACCGGGAAAAAAAAAAAAAAATTTTAAGGGTATTTTACTCTATTTTATGTATTTTAGGCCATATGCAAAAGACAACATTTCAAGTTAAGTACGTAAAACATTCATAAGTATTCCATAAGATTTTGGAATGGAATATACATTGCAGGATACAACATCCTTATTCTAAAGAAAGTACCTTACCATAGTCAGAGAGAGTGCAGGCGTGAGCAAATGACAGTAGCATATCCAGCATTGAAACAGTGTCAGAGAGTTTGTATAAGCAATGAACGTGTTCGTATATCTCACTAAGCAGTTTACACACGACCCTGAAAATACACGTTGGGTAAAACATGTAATGCTTTTAAAAAATAGTATCCAATATAATTACAAAATAATATTAAACTCTGCTTGAGGTAAAATAATATTCACGGTTAAACTGTATAATGCAAGTAAAGTCGACTGTTCAGTTGCCTTGTTTTAGAGAAACTGAAGTTCTTGTGCAGTGTCACAGCTACACAGTGACAAAGAATCCACCTTCTGGTGTATTAACACCATGTTCTTGAAATGACTGCTTTTATTAAATATTTAGAAAAATCCTTCATTAAGGATTTTGTTTTTGCAAATGTTAGCTTTAATACAAGTTCTCTATCTCTGTGTGCTTCTGTCTCCGTTTCTCACACACATACGCTATTTGAATAACAAGAATACTGCAATTTTTATGTGGCAAGGTTATACTGTGATATAATGTAAGCTTTTCCCTTACAAGGGTAAATATGTGTCTGAAACTTACCATATTATGTCTATGGTTTACACCTTGAAATTGTTTTGAAATCCCAAATGTTCTCTTTATCATCTGAGTTCATCAATTCTAAATATTCTAGTCTTCTAACTATATTGCTACGCCTTCATGAGCAGCAAAAGAACTGGCAGCTCTGTGATGCTGCTATAGTGATACCAGGGTATGAGAAGCTGAGGGCTTAAACACCACAGTTAAAAAGAGACTGCGTGAAGTCCAAGATACGTCAAGTTCTATCTACTTCATGGCAAAGTGCATATTAGAGAAGTATAACTTACAATGGTACTTATTTCTTCGCAATTAGATTTGTCCTGAAGCTTCTGTGAGGCTGATGTGTCCTTGTCACATAATAGACTTACTTCCCTAACATTCATAATTCTATAATTGTCTGTGATCAGACAAAGAGTCAACAAATAAAATTTATCTATGGTTCCTCACATTAAGCCAACTTAATTCAATATTCAAATATTTCAAATGTTCTTACATATAAGTCATGTGATAAATTTCTCTCAAAGACTCTTGGCATCTTTCATTCATTTTAATTAAATCTGTTGATGTAAAGCTGTAAGAATTTTTCACTTTAGAAATCTGTTAAAAAGTCAAAAAACAAACGTCACACATGCATATGAAATAAAACACAGATTTATACAATAGAAATGGATATTTGGGTTAATTAATTTTTGAGATATACTATCATAAAGAAAGTTCTAAATAATTTGTGAAATAAAGATAGGTGATAATCTCAAAGGATACAGCAGAATATTTTAACATATGCCAGCCAATATGAGTATTTTGACAATTTTTTTAAATATTGGTGCAGAAATCTGTAAACAACATAGCTTATATTAAACTTCGGGAAACAGGGAGTTTTGTTTTCCTCTAAGAAAGTTTCTACACCACTCTTAGCTGTTACATGGGTGGACTGGAGTAGAAGAGAAGCAATATGTACCACCTTCAGGAATTTGGCATATCAGGGACAAAGGGTTGGGGAAACACACAATTATAACCATAAAACCAGGAATAATAATTTCCTAATCACTCTAGAATAAACCTTGATAAATTCAGAAGGAAGCGGATCACTGGGTAGCACTGCATAATCTGTAGTCATCTGGATAAAAAATCCTCGAGCAGAGCTAAAGCTTGTCCTTAAAGGAAGATTATATTTTTCTGCAAGCTGTGATATCATTCCTAGTGACCAGAAAAAAACAAAATAAAACCAAAGAATTTTAATGAGAATATTACTCTTTCCATTTAAAGAGTCAAAGATTTTTTCTTATATTTTATACACAAATAGGAAGATATTGTTACTTTTTAAACTTTAAGTTTTAATGTCCAAAAGATGAAGTCAAGTATTCTTGAAAGCAAAACAAAAGTAAACATATTCCTACTGATAGGTATTCGTAAAGGAAGAGAAATAATAAAACTTTTAAAGTGTTATTTTAATACTGTATTGTATACATTTTTATGTTATTCTGTTTTTATAAAAGAAAACAGTCACATTAATTATTGGGATCATTAATTCACAATAAGAAAGTCCCTCTATAAAATTTATTTTATAATACAAAATATTTCTCCACATAGATAGTTTATCAAGTAAAATGCCTTTTTAGAAAACCCAAATATCTGTCAACTTCACACACATTCCAGCATTCTAGATTTCACCTCTAATTTTATGACCATTAATTTTGAACTTTATGTGAAAACAACTTAACATCATTACTCAAAACAGTTCCTTCAGATTTTTCTGCTTTTCTCAATGGTACCACCATTCTTGGGGCAGAAAAATCATTTAGCACTAATACATTTACCTTTACCATGGGCGTATCTACTTTATAACTAAATTCTGTCATTTTTTTCTTCCATCTTTGCATCCTTCTTGACTCACGTACATTGCTATTACCCTAAATAATGTTAAGGTTAAAATAGTTTAAATTGGTCTCCTTGTTGCCCTTTCACTCAAGTTTTTTAAACATATTTTTTAAAATAAATTTCACTCTAGAAGGCAAAAGCTTCTTGGTACCTCTTCTTGTCACTGGGGGAAAATCCACACTCCTAGCTTTCAAAGGCTAACTTCTGGATCCAAGTCTACATTTCTCATTATCTCTCATTAGTTCTGTGAGAGAATGTCTGATTTCATTCTACCAGATTTTCTCACTCATTGCTTGGTCTCTCTGTGCCTCTGTGCTTCAGCTGGATTTACTGCTAATGGTGGAGCTCCTCTCTTGGCTATTCCATCTAAAATCGTCCTATCTTCTACAGGAAGATACTCGACTTCCAGGTTCCTCTAATCTGCTACATTTTTCTTCATATAAGTTGTATCCATGTGGAATTATAATATCTGTGATTGAAATCTATCAATATTAATGTATGTATATGTACCACAGATATGTATGCATATATGCATGTGTTTGTTCTTTTATATTGTCTGCCTCCCTTACTGTAATATTAGCTTTGTGTTCCAGAGCAGAGGAACTCTGTCACGTTCAGTATGTATTCCCAGGGTTGAGATGTGTGTCTACATGTAGTGGGAGCTTAATAAATATTTATAAAAGTAAATGAGAAAGGGACCAAGAGATAGAGAAAGGGAGAGGGTGAGGTAGAGAAGATGACATAAAAAGAATTAAGATGTGCTATGCAGAGCCGAGCATGGTGGTGCATGCCTGTAATCCCAGCACTCGGGAGGCTGAGGCAGGAGGATCGCTGCAAGTTCGAGGCCAGCCTGGGCTATAAAGTGAGCTCAAGGCCAGCCTGAACTGCATAGGGAGACCCTGTCTCAAAAAAAAAAAAAAGATGTGCTATGTACATGTACCAATTCCCCACGATATATGTAATCATTATGTACTGCAAACATATACTAATAAAAATTTTTAAAATTTTAAATTATTGGATTGGCTAAAAAGTCACCTATTCCCGGTAAAACTGAGATCTCTCACTGCTGAAATCCTTCAGTATTGGTAGACTACATTTTTAATATAACTTATACACAAAGTTGGATGAAAGTATGTTTGGGGAAAAGAAGAGCAATCACAACACTTTCATTGTCTTTTTTTAAAAAAAGAAGAGTAAAAAGAAGAGGAAAGACTCCTTAAGTGCAATGTGTGTTTATGTAACCTATTTTGGAATTTAAAAATATGTATGACACGTGATTAACCAGAATCTCCTAAAAAAGTTCATTTTATTCATAAAAATCAGGAAAAAACCATACTGAAACAAATTACCTGCTATGTCATCCACAATCTCTGTATATGTCCTTCTAGCTATGTCAAGAAATTCATTTATATTAGATCTCACTGCATAACACTTCTGAGTCCTCATATTTAGGCATCCTTTCATGTATCTTGCATCATCATTAATTACTGTTTTAATCTTTTCAAGTATGATTCCAAACCTAACATTAAGATAAAAAATTACAGATTATAAGTCAAACAACTATTTAAATTTATAATATGAATCATGTTCTATGATTTGTGTTAATGATAGCAAACTTTTGTTGAAAGTTATTTTGAAATAATTAAGCACTAAATATTTAATTTACATATGCTACAGTTGTGACTATATCAGGTATAAATTAGTTCATCAGTCAGAACTAATCTAAAATAGTATGAACCCTCCAAGAGCAATTCTAAAATCTGCTAATGTATACAGATCTCCCAAGGTATAATACTGATTTTGTCTGTAAGTACAAAATATATCCCTAAATAACTATTATAAGAATTGCGGCTTTGTGCTCATAACTCAATAAACACAACATGTAGCCAGAGCTTCAGCAGGTGCAGAGAGCCAAAGAAGATAGCATATGGCCCTCGTCCTCCACAGAGGTAAGAGAGACCAAACGCATATTGTGAGACAGCACTGAAGGAATCTTACAGCTATGTGCAATACAATAACTATACAAACAATAAATCTGATAAACACGTATTCTCCTAAACCTTTCCTTTATTCTAATTTCTATTTTATTTGTAATTAACCTGGTTTTATTAACTTTAGTTTGTGATCTCGTTTAGCTATCAATCTTGAGTCAATAAAACAGTATCTTTTTAGTGAAGAACCAAGGTAACTTATTGCTCATAACTTAGCAATATTAAACTAGACTTAAATATTAGTTTTGAGGACAGGAACTTTATCATGTTCATTATGTATTCCTAGCACCCAAGACAGTATCTACAGGTAGTAGGAGCTCAATAAACATTTAAAAGAACTGTATATTTATTCAGTATTCTTACGTACTAATTTTGGTTACTTTAGGACTTTCCTGATTTATCAAAGGAGAGGAATATATTTCTACATTTTCAAGTCTTTCAATGGACAGTGACTGAAAAAGGAAATATTAAAATTGTCCATGGAGTTTGATTTTTCATGTTTTTCTCTTAGTGCAAATAATCAATGTATTGTTATTCTATTTACTGTACTAATAAGATAAATGTATAATTAGAAATTTAATGAATAGCTTAAAGAGTCTCCTAAGCTAAAACTCAGTAACTGTTCTATACAACACAACGGAAGCCTTTAAAATTAGGTACAATCAAAAAGAATAGTAATTTTATTAACACTGGAGTAACAGTGACCTCGTGTCTTCCAAGGAACCATAGTAAGCTCTTAATAAAGGTGTGGTACAGTTCTTCAAAGCAATCTGTTAAAGAATAAAACAAAAAATACTTATGAATAAAAAATTATGACATTATTCAAACTCAGCAATTTACATTTGTGTAATACCCTACTTTATAGTTTATAAAGTACTTCTTACTATATTTTCTCATTTTTGTGCATAGAAAAATATTTCAAGTATGAGGTGAGGACATATTGTATCTTTGTTTTCCAGATAAAGAGCATATAGTGCTACCTCCTTACTATTGGTTTCTATTTTTCTTGTCTCCTAATTGTTAATATCTAACTACATTCAGCAGTAGGTATTTAAATAGCTACTGTTATGTATTTATAATACATATAATTCCAAAATTTGGGACAGAAATATATTATGCTTTAAAAGTGCTTTGTATTTATAAATGCAGCAATTTCTCCATAGACAGCAAAGACAGGAATTGGAAACTATGAGTAGTCACTAATAAATAAACAGAAAAAGGCAAAACCATAGTTAAACCATAGTTAACCATAGTTTTTTTAAAAAAAGAAGGAGAAACCATAGTTAAGCCACAGTCAACATTTTCCTTGTGCTTCTAAATAGAAAAAATCATATGGACATTCTGACAGAAACTAGAAAGTTTACAGAAGCACAAAGAAAATAAATCACTCATAATACCACTATTCTTCCAAAAATAAACACCCTAAATATATTTTCTGTTTCTTTCTAAAATAAATTCATATCATTGTATGCTCCTCTTACACCAATTTACTATTATATCATAAGAAAAACTTCTTGTAGCAAATAACTCATAATATTCCACTATGTGAAAAGCCCATAGACTTGTGCCCTTGTACTGAAGATTTATTCTACTTTATAATTCCTCACTAATATAAATAATGTTGTAGTCACCATCATTGGACATAAATCTTAGTTAACATGTCTTTGTAATTTTTCCAGAAAGATTTCTAAACATAGTATTACAGGATCATAAGATATGTGTTGTCAATATTTCAGTGAATAGATAAAGTTTATATTCCTACTAGCTGTTTCAGAAATTATCTGTCTTACTGATCTCTCATTTCTTCAAAATGACAATATTATGAATGAAAGATGGAGAAAGTTTCCCAATTGGAAGAGTTTAAAGATATTAAATACAATGCATGGTTGTTGATCAGACTTTATATCAGAAAAAATGTAATAAAGAACATTACTGAGACAATTTTAAAAATTTGAATAGGACACATATACCATGTAATAGTCTTATGTCAATATGAAATATCTTAATTTTGATTATTATATTGTCATATAAGAGGATATCCTTGTGTACTATAGAAGATAGGTGGTGCGATCACAAATATGGTGAATGTATAAATCTACAAAAATGTATAACAGTAAAGGACACATTACCATTAATCTCCCTTAAAATATTCCCCTTCCTTTTGGACACACTTGTCTCATCATTCTCGCCACTTTTTTAAGCAGTTCTGGAAGTCTTTTTTTCATGAATCTATTTGCACTGTCATAACTGCTTTGATGTCCTAAATTCTGCCCAGACTGTTTACTTTTCATAGTCATTTTGACTTTAGCAAAAATCTAGAAGTTGCATGGTACCAGGTCTGGTGAATGAAGTGGATGAGGATACATGGTAGTATTTTCACAAGCCTGCCTTTCCATTGGATGGGCAGCAGCATTTCCAAAGTTTTGATCCCACCTTATAGAGACAATCATGAAAGAGGACTTCCAGAACTGTTTCAGGAAGTGTCAAGAACAATAGGGTGAGTGCATTTGAAGCAAGAGGGAATATTCCAAGAAGATTAATGACAACGTGTCCTCTACAGTAATACATTTTTTAAAAATTTAAACATTTACAATATTTTTCAATCATTCCTTGTACATACTTTAGTATTTGGGTACTAAACATAAGAATTAATGATAAATATAATAATGTGTGTATATGATATACACATAAAGAGAAAAATACAGAAATTGCACTATTCCTGCAACTTTCTCTAAGCTCAAATTATTTTCTACACAAAAAATGTTTAAATGTCTAACATATTTTGTATAATATATAGACATATAAGTTACCTTTAAAGGATCCACAAGTTCCAAGGTATGTTTTAGGTATATTAAATTTGTTATCTTTGATTCAGCTGCATTAACCTGTTAAGAAAATAATCCAAATGGGCATAATATAAATACTGAATTCAAAATGGGTTTTTCTCTTAAACCTCCCCTTGCACATTCTGTATACTTTTATCTATCAGCCTCCCCCAGATGCCAGCCTACAGAATGATTAGAAATTACTGACCTGCCATAACAGGCCTAGTTGACTATAAAAAGTTTACTATGATTATATAGCCCAATTTTTTTTTTATTTTAGAAATAAAAGGAGGAAAATACTAACAGACAGACATTTTACAAAATAGCAAAGGATCAGTACAGACATTACAGAGTTACAAACAGAGCGGTAGGGAATTAACAATGCTTGTTGTATTACATATTGATATCTTCAAAGTAGTTTCTCATGAAAACAGATATAGACATACAAAGCTGATCAACCAGCTTCATTAGCGGTTGATCAGGCCTCATTAACGGTTTCTTTCAGCAAGGAAATACAAGACAGTAGAGCAGCCATGTTGACTATCCTGCATATACATACATACACACTTTCTCCTTCTTTCCCTTCTCTTTTCCCACATCCCAGTTACCCTTTACCTTTGAGTGCTTTCCTATCAATTCACAATGTCTATCATATCTCCTAGTTTAAATTAACTCTTTCAGGTTTTACACTAGTGAAACAATGTGGTGCTTGCACATGTATGTTTGATTTATTTCACTTATGAGTATGGTCTCTCGTTGTGATCATTTACGTATAAAAGCCTCGAGTTTATCTTTCTTTACAGCTGAGTAATATTCCATTATATCAAAGTACCACAATTTTCTTATCCAATCCTCAGTGGATGGACATTTGGGTTGCTTCCACATTTTAGCAATATATAGCCCAATTTTGAAGAGCTATCACATTAAACATTGTTAGCCTCCAGAGGCATAATTTCATACTTTCTTACAATGCATCTCTGAAACTAACTAGATTAAGATAAATAAAATTCACTCAATATAAGACAGCCTATTTTCACTACTTCTGAAGAATAATCCAAAAAACAGCCAATATAGCCTTGAAGAACAAAGTGGAAGCAGTAATTCTACTGAAATCAACTTATAACAAAATTATAGTACTTAAGAAACTGTACTAGTGGCACAGGACAGACAGAGAGACCAATGAAATGAAACACTCTAGAAACAAGCCCACGTATATACAGGCGCTTGATTTATGATTGTAGCACAGCGGCAAAAGGACTTTTCCATAAAAGGTAACAGTACAATTATCAATCAGTATGAGAAAGAAAAAATGTGGCACTTTCCTCATGCTACACACAAAGTCAGTTCTAAATATGAAAAGTAAAACAGTAAAACACCTGGAATATAACAAAGAGGACTGTCTTCATGTTGTGTAACTTTTACAGATTTTTGTAATTGATGATTTGACATCCATTAATTGTACAGCCAAGCAAACAGCCAAAGTTGTTTCATCTTCCCTGCAACCTGGCTTTTTGGATGCATAGAAATCATATTACACATCCTACCTCAACATGGGTTTCACTTCCTGTTGAGACACTGAAAATCTCTATCTGACAGCTTCCTGGTACTGAAGAAATAAAGGCTCTCCCTATGCCTTCCCTTTGTTCCTTCTGCCTTCTGACTGACCCTAGTACTTCCCTATATGGGCCCTGCCTGATGTGCCCTCTCCTCTAGGGGCATGTAAATTATAAAAACCTTTCAGTGCCACAAGCTGCTCCATGTTCTCATTAGTCATCTGCATAAATCAAAATCAAGACACTGGCATAAGTAAAGATTTTTAAGTAGACCACAACAAGCCCTGGGGACACTCCTGTGGACAAAGTCCTCAGGCACAGTCTCAGCTTCCAACAAGAAATTTTCCTCGCACAAAAGTGAATTCCAGAGAAGTGGGTGGCACACCAATAGCACCTGCTCAACAATACTTAATCAAAAACTAATTACAAAGTAGGAGAAGATATTTGTAACATAAAACCAACAAAGGGCTCATATCTAAACCTCATTAAGAAAAAACTGCAAATTCAAACCACAGTGAAGCCAGGAGTGGTGCCACACATTGGTAATCCCAGAATGCTGAAAGGCAGAGGCAGGAGGAGTATAAGTTAAAACTCAGCCCGGGTAACTTAGTGAAACCTTGTCTCAAAATAAAAGTTTTAAAAAGGGAGTCTGGGGATGTAGTTCAATGTGAAGGTCTTGGGTTCAAGTACCATAACCCCCCAAAAAGAAAAAACACAATGGAAGATCACTATCTACTGAACACTACGGCTATAATTTTTAAAGAATTTATATCAGGTTTTACAGAAGATTAGTAGAAATTCTCATACAGCGCTGATAGGAGGGTAAATTGATACTATCATTTGGAAAAATACAGTAGTTTGCATAATCTACTAAAGTTGAAGATATACATAGCCTACTATCCATAAATTCCACTCCTAACTATATGCCTAATACATACATGTGCATAATTATGTTAAAAGCAAGTACTTTTTTTTTTTTACAGTACGGGAGATCAAACCTAGAGATCTGCACATGTTCCACAAACACTCTATCACTGACTTAGACTCCCAGTCCCACAAGATTTTTAACAGTATTACTTCAATTGTAAAACTGTCAATAATTCAAAGTCTAGCAACAGTAAAACAAAACATAATGAATATTCATACAGTGGAATATTATGCAGCAATGGAAATAAGCGAACCAAAGCTATATGCAGCAACATAATTAAATCTCATAAATATAATGTTGAGTAGAAGCCAGACCAAAAAATACATGCAGAAGGATTTCTTACACATGAAGTTTCTAAAAAACAGGTAAAACTATGTTATAAAGAAAAACAAAAAAGAGGTTATTAAAAAGAGGAAGGAAGAGAATAACAAATAAGGAGGAGCAAATGGAGAGTTCTAGAGGTACTTGTAGTATCGGTTTCCCTACCTCAGAGACTGTTAAATGATGGTCACTTAATGACAAATCAGTGAACACTATTCTTGTCTTGTGTCATTTTGTCTCTGCATTTATTCCACATTATATTTTAAAATTGTCATTAATACTTGTTTGCAGCATATAATTATTACATTCATTGTGGAGAATTAGTAAATGTACATAACACACCTCAGTTCTTTCCCCCCCTTCCCTCCCATGCCCCCTTTTTCTTGCCAGCATCACATTCATTTATTTATAAGTCTTTATAGAACTAACTGCCGTACATACAGATGAACAACCAGACTAATAGCATTACTTTTAAAAAGTCTAAAAATGATAAGGAGCAGAAAGGGAGGAAGAAAACAGGGAGAAGTAGTCCTCTGGAAAACAACGGAAAATATTTCAAGGAAAAGAGTTCGCCATCTGTGTTGAGTTTTGCTGCTTGGACAAGCATGACAAGCACTGCCATTAGCCCCGGATTTAGTCAGATGGAGCTCTTTGGTGGGCCTGACCTCACTGGTGTCAGTGTGGAGTGGTGGGCTGCAGATCCCCCCGGAACGGATTAAGAGAGAAAAATAGTCATTAGAGACATCCATTATTGAAGATCTTGCTGAGGAAATTTTCTGTAAAAAGAAACAAAAGTAGAAGAAAAGTAGAGAGAAAAATAAAACTGAGCAAATAATTTCTCCTTTAATTAAGGAACAATGGTATGTTTTATGCTGATAAGAACAAAACAAAAAAAAAAAGTTGAGCATTGACAGATGCAAGGTGAGGAAAATTCTGAAGTGCTGCCAAGAAAAAGAGGCAAGAAGACAAGAAACCTAGTGTGCAAAGTAAAAGGTTGGCCTTTGCCAGGATGACGGTCGGACAGTTTGCCCACGGTAATGAGAGACACACTGTGTACCAGTGAGTGAGATAAATGCAGTGGCTAGACCAAGTGGAAGTTGTCTCTGACTGCTTCACTTTCTCCAGTGAAGGAGGAAGCAATATCCTCAATAGCTACAATTAGGTTGAGGGAAGAAATTGGTATTAGAGTAACATCATCTCATGACGTAACCTCCCCAATCTCAGGGCCTTCATTAAATGAGCCTTATTTCTTACTCACACACAGTCCAAACTCAGTCAGAGGCTTGAGTTCCTTCTATCTGTGGTTTCACCGTTTCTCTGCTGGATCCCTTGCACCCAATAAGAGAGTGAAAGAGCAAGTCCTTCATGAGTAAGGACTCTTGTGCTGTCTATTGTTTCTCTTCATATTCCACTGATCAAAATATAGTCATCCTCTCTGGAAGAGAGCTTATGAAACATAGAAGAGAAGAAGAGAGAGCTAATAAGCTTAGCTGAACACATGGTAGCCACGGTTGGAGAGGTGTGCTGAAAGGTGAAGGAGACAGAAGATAGCTTGAAAGGGTTTCTGAGCTCATGGAAAAGCAAATAAACAAGAAAATACAGGGCAAATGGGCAGCCTTAAGGGCTCTCAATATATGAGTAAATGACAGTGAAGTTTAGGAAGACACAAGAAAGTTCTGAGTGTGAAAAAGATGAGTAATTTGGGAGTACTGGGCTTCATGGGATGACTCATGCAAAGAGGGATAGGATTAGAAGCTTCCTCCAATGCTTCAAAAGCAAATATTGGTTTAAGTAAATGTTAGTTCATACAAACATTAAAATTTAAGGTAATAGGGAAGACAGTCTTGAGATTAGCAAGAAATATTATGAGGCTCCAACTAACTCTTAATAAAAATAGCGAGTAAAACCTGACGCAGTGAGGGAGACACTGAGATTACAAACCTTGAAACACCAAGCAAAGGACTAAGCAAAGATGGGCACAGACCCCTGATCTCCGGAAACCCCGAAACCATAAGCATGGGCTGTTTTAAGCAGTTATGACTGTGGTTACTTGTTATACCGCAATAGAAAACCTGCAGAGTCTCTCTGGAATTTGTTCTTCAAAGCCAAGAAGGGACAGAGAGTCTCCACAGAGAACTGGAGACAATTTTCCACCAGTCTCTTGCATTTTCACACACCTTATGAGCACTGGCATTCATTACCTTTGTTTTAGACAATATTTCCAAGGATGAATAGCTGTGAAAGATACAGTGTCTCCT